AGCCCGGATCCTCATACGGGCAACAGCGCTTTGACACCAAACGCTGATTGGTGAAAAACCGGTGGCGAGGGTAAAATTTACCCCCATAACCCGTTTTTCACCAATCAGTGTCCGGTGTCAAAGCGCTGTTGTCCGTATGAGGATCCGGGCTAATCCAACCTTTAACAGTTTACGGCCAGTATAAATCAACCTTTACATCATGCAGGCTAGTGTGTGTGCATGGGTGTCCACCATGTGTGTGTGTGAGTGAAGTGAAATAGATATACGTTTGTTTCACTTCAACTTATTGCGCTGTAGTGCAGGCAAAAGGAACAAGCCTATTGTCATGTCCTTTCTCAGGTTTCTCTCTGCTTCTATTATTAAGCTTCACAGTTTTACTAAAGATTTTTATTTGTGACATGATCTGGCCGTATCGACCTCCTATTTACTGTTTAGAGGTGTGAGCCATTAAGGAAGAAGAAGTATACTCGTGAATGATGTTTCTCTTTTAACCTCAAATACGCTCTGCACAATTTCAGTTTTGTGATCGAGAAGCGCGTGATTAAAGTTGTTACGTTTGGTTAAATCAAACGAAAAGATTTCACTGTGGAAATTTGATTTCCTTGCTCGAAATGGGCGATTCAGACGAGGATAATTACGCAACGTTTGGTGTTCCTCTTGATCCTTTGGACGAAGGTATACAAACAGAATAAATTATAGTGCGTGGAAGTATATTGTTTTATAAATGTTCTTTTTGTTGTATTATGTCAAAAAGTTTTGATCTTGCAGAGAACATCCCGCGAAAGAAGCCTGTCACGATCGAGGATCAATATGCATATGACGCCCAAGGTAGACGTAGATTCCATGGGGCCTTTACAGGTGGTTTCTCAGCAGGATACTTCAACACCGTCGGCACTCGCGATGGCTGGAGACCACAGCGGTTTAAGTCTTCCAGGAGTAACAAGGCGGACAGCGTTATTCAGCGACCAGAAGATTTTATGGATGAAGAGGATACAAGTCTCTTTGGGATAGCTCCTAAAGGTATTCGAGCCACCAGTGATTATGCTGATCATGAACAGAAGGGAAAAAAGAGGGAAAGGATAAATCAAGAAGAACCTATCCCTGGTACTCCCATCTTAAAGGAACTTCTAAGACCTGTCAAGTTAGTATTTGTAAAAATTAATGTCAAAAATACTAATTAATATAAGGTTCTGTAAGTATAAAACAATATAAATAAAAAAGGGGCAAAGAGCCAACGATGTAACAAACAAAAAACTTTAATTCAAATAATAATAATGTATAGCTGTAAATATAAATGTGACGACTCTGATCGGGTCATTCTCAATATTACAGTAAAGACAAATAAATTCGTTATTAGCTGATGAATGTTACAAAATTCATTATCCTTCTAAAATTATTTTGTTTGTGTTCTTCATGCTTTGAGTCCATTAATTAAAAAGTTAAATTGTGTATGTGTGTGTGTGTGGGTGTGTGTGTGTGTGGGTGTGTGTGTGTGTGTGTGTGTGTGTGTGTGTGTGTGTGTGTGTGTGTGTGTGTGTGTGTGTGTGT